GTATTTGACCTGAGTATAACTTGATGAATAGACTGAGATTGAAATTCATTCTGAATTTTAATTTGTGTAATTTAAAACTGTTATGTGTTAATTTGTGTATATAACTTGTAAATAGTGTAAATATTTGTTTCTTTAGTTATATTATTTGTTTGTTTCATTGTCTTTTGTTTGCATTGAATTTGGCTTCTGACCAAGGGTTCTACTTTCTAGGATGTGCGGTTCTTGGGAGGGGGCAGTGTTACAAAATGTCCAGGCACGGTGAGATAGTTTCCCCGCAAAGCAGGTTTAGAGTTGCCACGTTTGGCGACAAAATTGGTGATATGCCATAGACGAATGGAAAACCTTCTGGAATAAATTCTTATTGGTTTAGCACAGAATGTTCTCGATAACAAGTCAAAAGCTATAGAAACCCTACTGGTATACGGAGAGTTAGTGTTTCGTCTAGCGAGTCTTAGTCTGTGTGGAGTCGATCGAGTTGACAGTCTGTCAGTGAGTGCTGAGTTGGTCGGCGAGAGCACCAAAAGAATCTTAGTGTATCATGGTTAGTGCATCGTCGAGACAGTGTGTTGAGCTCCGGGAAAGACTGAACCGAGGAGTCGGAAGCTGTACTCTAGGGTATCATCCAATGCATTGCGAGTTGTAGCATGGCGAGTCTCGAGAATACGTGGAGTTCTGAGAACGACTGAGCAGAGTCAGGAGCTGTACTCTGGTGCTTTGCAGTGAAACTGTCTTCACCTTTATAGCCTGATTGCCTGAAGGTTGTGTCGCTAATTGTTCCAGCATGTGTATAGTAGTTCTTCGACGACTGTAAAAATATGTTTTGGAGCTGTTTTGAATAATACTGTCCAATAAAGTTTGTTTCGATACTTTATCAAATGTTGTCCTTTATTCACTCCAAATCCGCATAATCCACGTAACGAATGTACCAAAGGAGGAAAATAATGTAACAATATCCAACTACTGGAAGTCATATAATGATATTTTTGATAATGGCTTCATTTAATTCTCAGTAAATCATGTAGTGACACTGAAGGACCCCCAAAAAACGGGAGCTCATATCAACACTATTAAAGGTATGTGGAATGTAATAAAAAGGGATTTTCGGAACAAATGACTCTGCCACTATGGAGACTATTTTTGTGAATTTATATGGAGAAGGCAGTATGCATATTCTAGTTCAGATAATTTTAGAAAGTTTTGGATGCTGCTAAGGAATTTTATGTCCCACAGGCTGAAGACTCAGAAATTTCTAAATAAGGTAAGTTGATATTTCCTTTTTATAGTACATACATGAGATAAAATGTATTTTTTTATGTTATTTCATTGTTTGATTTAAAAGGCAGCTGATTGAGATTGTATGTATTTTGTTTTAATTATGTAAGTGAAAATAGGTGGATATGTATAAAGTCAAGGCAGTGTGCGATGCCGAGTTTGTGCAATTCTCTGATATTTTTTCAAGTGAAAATCAATCGATGTGTACATGGACACCGAGTTTTTTCAATTCTTTGACTTGTTGTTTTGGTTTTGTGTAGTGGCCATCTTGAAATTTTTCCTTGCTAGTGCCGATCTTGGCATCAAAAAGGAATCTGCAAAAAAAAAATAAATAAATAAATAAATAAAAAAATAAAAAAACAAGGGGCACACAAGTATAAACTTTTACCTTTTCTTTTAATTGTGTTTTATTGCATTATATTTTATTGCATTCTTTTAATTTGGACGCCATGTTACTGGGGAGGGTATTGTATGTAAACAGGAATGGTGCCAATTTTCGCCAAGGGGCACCCTTAACTATATCTTTACCAAATAAAATTGTGAGCTAAAATTATATATTGTACTTTTAATATTTCAGTTATAAAAGTGTAATCATATATTCTTTATATTATTTATAAAAAATTCACTAAGGGGCAAATTAAATGCAAGAAAAGCATATTTCAATGTGAAACCTCACACTGCATGTCTTCTGCAAGTTTACTGTACTCTAGTACATTTGATGTTGTGGCTCAATTCATACAGTCATTTGGATATTTGTTTGTTATCCTGGATCTGAACTTTGATTTTAATAAGTTTGCGGTGGACCACACAGAAATGAGAAAACCGTGCGTGCCAAGCTTTTATGATGTCTCACACGACACGTGTCTGACATCGCAGATGCAATAATTCGTTTCAGTTGACTGTGCAAGCGACATAACTTCATAACTAGTGTCAAGAGATTTTAGCGTTCTGCACTGTGTCTTATCAAAGCCTCTCGGTTTCAGGAAGGCTGTTGAACCAATAATTTTGCTTTTCCTCTGATATCATTCCAGATATAATGAATAAGAGGATGTAAAATACAACAGGAAAATTAATAAAATCTCAGAAATCAATCTGAAGATTTTTTCCATAGGAACAATGTATCAGAAGACTCCTGAATTCTCTCCTAGAGAGACCTAAAAGGCTTCTGAACTCTCGACTAGAGAGACCTAGAATGCTCTCGACTAGAGAAACCCTCATTAACAAGCTTCTCACACTACAAGGACTGTAATTTATGTCATATGCTATCCATGAAATGTATTTGTAAAGAGCCTCTCATAATTGTAATAAATATGTTTTGAGTTCAATAATGCAGTGAGTATCAATCTCACAAATGTACCAATCATTATAAGGAGTCAGATGTGCTACCCGCTACCACTCAACACAGTGGTAACCCACCACTCATCCTTCAAGTTCATTGTTGGAAAATCACTTTCTCAAAACCTGTGAGTAAATCTATTAGACAGAAAATATATGAGCAATTACAATATGTGTATTGCAAAAAGTATTGATTTTCTGCATGATTTTTCTAATTTGGGCCTTTGTCCTGTGTATGTCTATGTCTTGTGTTATTCATGTTTGTACTCTTAAAATTTCATATTGTTTCCTTTAATATGAATAACAACTGAGGTTATCCTTGAATTATTCAATAGTTTTTGAGTTTTAAGCAGGAATGCATGTTATTTGAATGACTGTAATTAATTAATTAATACCTGCAGGTTGTGATTTTTATGCATTTTAATGAAATTAGCAACTTAATTTTTAGAGTTTTTTTAAGGTAGTAGTGTGTGGGGATCAGCTGGCGTGGTGTCGAGGTTCGAGCAAAGGGCAAACATCAAGTTCATGTACGTATTGGGAAAACTGCTTCAGAAACTTCATTAGCTTTACAAACAGTTTACGGCAATGATTCTTTAAAGAAAGCAGCTGTTTACGAATGGTTTTCAAGATTTTGGGGTGGACAGGAATCTCTGGAACATGAGAGCTGTCGTAGGAGACCTTCAAACTCCTGAAATGAAGGAATGATCGAGCAAGTGAAACAGATAATCAGATTAAATTGAGGAATGGCCATCAATGAGTTGGCACAGGAAGTGGGGGATCTCTCACGGATCCATTCGCGCAATCCTGTCGAATGATTTGAAGATGAAACTCGTAACTGCAAGGTTTGTCTTGTAGTGGCTAAACTTGATCAAATGAAAGCTCGGCAGTTGACTGCAACCAAAAGTTTTGAAATAAGCACAGAAGACCCGACATTTTGTGAGACAATTGTTACTGGTGATAAGACCAGGGTGTGCACTTATGACCTGAAGATAAAAATGCAATCATCAGAGTGGCACATAACATCCTTTCCTCGACCAAAGAAATCACATCATGTCAAATACAAAACAAAAGTTATGCTCATTGCATTTTTCGACAATGAAGTTGTGGTGCACTATGAATTTGTACCTACTGGACAAACTGTTATGGCCCTTTTTACATGCAAGTTTTTAAATGACTGAGGGAGGCAGTCCCAAGAAAACAGCGTGCCAAATGGCAAAGAGGAAGATCATGGCAATGCTCGCTTCCACACATTGATTGTTGTGCAGATATGGTTTAGACATGACAGACAGAAAAAAGACCATTCCATTCCTTCACAAGCCTGCTTTTCACCAGATTTATCACCATTAAATTTCCAACCAGAAATTCGATGGTGATAAATGGGCTTCTCCCATGATCACAATGGGCTTTAAAGGTAGCCATTGTGACACCACAGAATACATCAAATCCAATGCAGCATCTGAAATTCGGAAGACACCACAAAAGGACCTTCATCATTGTTTCCAGCAATGGCAGGAGTGGGAGAGCGAGTGTTCTGTGTATGTTCTGAAGGAGCCTACTTTGAAGGGAATAAGTGGGGTAATAAAGAGTTACTACAAAATTCCGAGAACTTTTTGACTGCCCCTCATATTTAAGTCCTTAATTCTATATTAAAATTTGAAAAGAATAAATAGGAAGTCTTTTAAAATTCATATATGTTTTTTAGATGTATTATACACTTTCATGAATTCTTTTTATACTGAAAATGGATTTAATATAATATAAATTTCTATGTAACAACAGTAATTAATTTTTTATTATGAAATCTAAGTAAAATTTAATCTAATTTTTAAAAATATTACAAATTTCTTATTTTTGTAAAATTGTTATATTCTGTAGTTTAAATTAATTCAGAAATTTCATTATTTAATTAATTTTAATACTTTAAAGCAATTTAACATCTAAAAGAGGTGTACGTTTCACTCAACAAAGCTTTTGTGAAATTCATAGTAGAAAAATTCTTATCCTGGAAAAGCAGGAAGCTATTTCCATAAAGCTTTATGTTAAAATACTATTGCCACTCATGATTAAATGCTGTTGCCATGAAACAAAATTATTGCAATGCTAATTAACAATTTCTAAATAATAGTATGATGCCTTTCAATAATAACTTAATTTTATTTTGGTTCCTGCTTAGATATATTTTTTTTTAAATTTTGATTCATATTTTACTCAGTAGTGTCAAATTCTTATGTTGTTATATTTAATTTTATGAAAAATTATGTGTCTGGATAGATAATTACCAATAATTTGTGAATTTTAAATCCAATTTTCTACTTCAGTTTTGTAAGATTACTTTTAGATTTTAAATGGAATGTTAAGATCAAACTAAATTCCTTTTTTTTTTTTACAAACAGAAAAATTGCTAAAGAAATAGTTGAGAAATGCATCTCAATTGACAAAGAGAATAAACTCCAGGCAGAATGCATAGAAAAGCTTCCCATAGTGTCAAAAGAATATGTCGTGTCATATTAAAGCGAAATCCATTATGGGAATTACTCCAAGTCTTTCTTCAACAACAGTTTTTAACAGAAAGGGAAAAAATTCATTTGGTAAGTTGTAATTTGTGAGCTAGTAAATTGAAAATTGTTAGATTTTGCATTTATGCTCATTAAAGAAGATTTATTTGTTGCTTAATAAAGGAGGCTTAAATATATACATGTAAATATGTGTGTGTGTATATTTAATAGAACGGTACTTGTATTATGTCCTAGGAATAGAAAGGAAAATAAAAATTGTGAACTTGTGTGAATGCTGGTGTGTGTTTAATCGCTAAAAGCATTGGATCTCTTTTCAAATTGTTACTACCAAATATTATTGCCCTGTATTGTATTTAAAGTAATTAAAGAAGAATCTATATGAATGCATGTATGTTTCTTGCAATGCATTACAAAAAAACAACAGTTTCTAGAGCCATCAAATTTTGAGTAACCTAATCTTCCACCTGAATACAAGCACTTGGAAGCCTGAATTTGGAATGTGTTTTGTTGGCTCTTTTATATTTTGTAAAACTTTTGACGAATTTTTGATTAACAAACTCGTTGATTTCAATTTGCACGTCATGTCTCTCAGCCAGTTCCAATACTTGATCTAATTTAACTGTGACGGTAGTAGAAGTGATACCGTTTATATTTATTTGGAGTAATTTTCCCACATGTATACGGACGGCAGTAAACTTGTTAATGACAGTTCTGACTGTAGCATTTATATTAGATTTCGGGATTAAGAAATAAGAATTCATAAAAGTAATCCAGACTTCTGCTCGATATTTCGAAGCGAGCTTATTGCAATTCTAGAGGGTTTGGACTCCTTCATGTGGCTTCCTCAGTTAAAAGATATCTGGATCTTTTGAGATAGTAGAAGTGCCATACAGCGCTTGGCTGATTGGCATAATGTGAGGGATAATACAAGTGCAGACATCCTCAGGAAACTAAAACAACTTTCCCTTTCTCATCGGATCCACTTTCAGTGGATCCTGTCCCATGTTAACGTTGGTGGAAATGAAATTGCTGACAGCTTGGCTAGAGCTGGTGCTAGCGAGACCATAACGCCTGCTGCTCCTCTTACTTATATGGAACTATTTTCTAAATGTAAGGCAAAGAATAAGGCCGTTTGGATGGTCTCAGCAGTGCACCCATGGTATCAGAATAAGTGCCCTGGTGGCTCCTTGGTTCAAAGCAGCATTAGATGAGATCAAACTGCACTTATTAGATTCCTTAGTGGCCATCTGTTATCAATGAATTTTGTCGGTGGTAATAAGCACTTTGAAATATGCGCTAAGTGTTCTACCACACAGGTCTCTCCTGATCACATCTTATCTTGTTTGGGGCTTACAAGACAGGATCTGGCTCAAGATCCCCTTTTTGTACCGGACTCTTTAAGGGTGAATGGGCTCATAGACCTGATCTAGCTCTGCTGGTCATGGGGATTAGAAACAACAACAACATGATTTCAAAGCGAGCATTGGCAACACTGTACAGAAAAAAAAAAAAAAATTATCTCTAGTGCATGAAACTGTCTATTGGAAATTCTAAAGATATGCTGTTTTTAAATATCATTAGCCCAATGCTCTTGAAATTTGTTTGTGTGTGTAAATGAAAAAAACACCAGGTGAGGTGTAATATAAAGTCTGAAAGCTTTCAGGTTTTTTAAGTATGTTTTTTCCTCAGAGATATTCATACAAGTGTTCACAATATTGTCCACTAATCAGTAGTTCTACTAAAAACGTTAAATGCAGTGCCAAGCACATCTAAAGAGAAAGCTAAATCTGATATCTCAGTTCACAAGGAACTAAACAATTCGCAACAACAGTAGCTAAGCAATGGAGAGCAGATTCTCTGTTTTCGACCTTAAATTATTTTCAACCGTTCGCGTAAGATGTTTTTGTAATTCTGTTTCTCGAAATTACTTTAAAAGAAATAAGAAGATGGAATTATGGTTACAGCTAACATAGTGGTCAGTTGCATTTATTCAATTTCAATAAATTGCCAAGATATCCATTTACTCAATGTTAAATGCACATGCCCCTGTATTCTTACTTTTCCTTCATAGCTTCTCTTAAAATTTGTCTCTCATTGCATTGTACAGTGAAATACAATTTTAATTATAATTCTACTAAAATTATATATTTAATTACAAAATTTATAACAATATGCTGTTCTTAAATATTATTTTAGTATTTTTTTTAGTGTTGCTGAAAGAAATTTTTCAACTAAAAGGTGTAATTCAGAAAAATGTTAAATAGTTAAATTTATGAAAATGGTAAACCAGTAAGATAAAAAGTTTAAAAAATAATTAATGAATCAATTATTGCTATGACATTATGGTGAATATAGAATGAAATGTTTATCATTTTAGATGTAGTTCATATAATATGGGTATTCTTAGTCTTCGCATAGGAAGAGAGATGAAAGTTAATAATTTTATCGGATACTTTGCTTGTACCCTGCTTGATTTCCCTTAAATAACATCAGAGAACTGCACGAACTCAACATTATACAAATTTGACATAACGCACCATCCTAAATATACATGTACTGGCAACATAGACATTGCTATAATTTTATTACCAAACTTTGAAATATTCCACAAAGGAATTCTTTGAGGTAGATATCCCATTTATGCTTTGCATTGTAGCGTTGCGTGCCTCTATCTGGCACGCAACCAAGAGGTGACTGTGAAAACTGGATAAAAGACAGAGTCTTGTTAAGGGTTTAAGTCCCTTTTTATTCAACGTAATAAATTACAATTGCGTGCTCTTGACGCTTCACAAACTGTGCCAACTCGGCAGTCAAATAAAAATAATAACCTGAAAAGAAACTAAAGACAAGACTCTAACTACGAGGCTCTCTAAAATAACTAACTCACCGCGTTTTACAATACCGCTGCTAATTCAGCAGACTTGAAGCTCACTTGAACGATTAACAATACTTCCCAGGCAAGCACACAGGCCGAAACGCGGGGTTCTTCAATTTCTGGCTAACTACCTCCGCGCTCGCTGAAGTAAGAACAGCACACACCTCGAACTCGTTTCCTTTCTATTTAAATCATAATACTTCCGCTGATAATTTGAATCCTTGCGCGTTCTACTAAAATTTACATATTCTGGCATTGGCAGTTCCAGGGGAAAGTAAGGCTTGACAGGAAAGATAGTTTAAACTTAAAATAAATGTTAGTTAAAATAAATATAAACCCTACATTTGCCGCTGCCAGAATTTGGAAAACTTGGAAGCAGGTCCTACAAACGACCTGTTGTAAGTTTCTCTAATTCTGAACTAACTGGCGAAACCTCGTTTACACAAAAAAAATCTTATGTAACAATTGTATACTAAAATTCTGTGTATACTTATAAGCTCTCTCTCTTACAGCAACTTTTCCTGGACTTCATCAATCAATCTTGGTCTTTTCCTTCCAGCATCTGGAAGGAATAAGTATCAGTATCTTTCTAAATACATTATAATTTACACTTTCTTGACACAATAAATTTTTGTTTTTAAACGATTCGTTTTTCTTAGTTATTGCTTAATTCACATTCATTCATTCAATTTTTCAAGCATTAATTTAACTTTACCCTGGCTCTCCACCATGTGTGGTGTCAAACGGGAATATTCGTGTTTTAGTCTTACAACACTTCCCCTAACCACCATGATTTGTTAGAATTCAACGACCAAATAGACACACCTTACTCGACATTCTACAACTCAATGAGCTACTTTAATATTCTTAAAAATTCAAATGTAGGTGGAGAACCCTACAAAACACATTCATTCTAACTTCCCCCTCATTCATCTTTAAACATGCAGGCTTTCGCTCTAAAGCATGACTTTATCTACAGTTTAATACTTAAATTTTGAATTCATTGCTTTTGAGCATTCACTTTTAGCATCTAAATTTTATGCTTCTAGACTAAATTCTACTTTTACATAACATTCAAGTATTTACGTACATTTACAAAATTTTAATACATATGATTTTTACAATTTACCATAAAATGAATAAGAGAAAATAAATTTTTACTTTACTCATTCTTCGCCAAGCTGGCGGCACTGAAACTAAAATTCTTATTAATACAAGAATACGAAGTTATTTTTATCTTCGGCCAAATTTTGGCTTTAACATAACAGAATTAGTCTTTCGACCAACAGAAAATGCTTGTTTTTAGCTTTTTACACTTAAAGAAAATAATACTTTTGCCTTAGCTAAATAAAGTAAAACAAAACTAAGTCTCAACCGAGACATATTGACTTTCGTCAAAACATAGAACTTCGTACTTATGCATAACATTTCGGAACAAAAGAGAAAAAAAATTTATAGAAGGATTTTAACTTATCTTTGAGTTTTCGATGCTTGAAACTCCGTCATTCGTTTTGTGCAAATTGATCCCAAGTTAGAGGTTTCATGGATGTCAATCTTCTCCTTACTGACCTCCGAGTGTCGTCCACGTTGTTTTTCTTTTGCGTCCTCTACATGCTGGCCTCTTGGCGGAGTAATCGTCTGGTTGTTGTTGTCTTTTTCCGTTTTTTTCCCTGGGACGGCTGGTCTTGACGTCCTCCGGTCTGGAGTCCTTCTTGAATTTCTTCTGTTCCTGGTATTTTTGTTCCTCCTGTTGGCGTTTCAGTTTCCGGAACGGCGGCCTTGCTGGCACCTGACTCTGTGGCCCGTGTGCGCGTTCTCCTTGATGTGTAATTTCTCCTGCGATCCTTTGTAGGTGGTGTTTTTTGCTCTTTACCACGGTTTTTCTTTACCGGTGCATCTGTATTTTTGTTTTTCTTAAATGCTGGAGTTTGAAATTTTTTATTTTTTCTTTTTGATACCGACGTCCGGGTTGTAGAAGTGCTAGGTCTCTCTTCAGTTCTCTGCTTCTTGGGTGGTGGAATAGTTGTTGTTAGTCTCTGGACCTTCTACTTCGTTTAGACTTGAGTCCTGCAAGAAACTTTTAAGGATTTCAAAATCATTTGGATTATAGTATTTTTTCACCTGGTCGGGACTTGCTTTACAGATTTCCCCTCTCTCGTTCTTAAGATATAAGACTACTCCTTTGATTTCCTGAATTACATAGGGGCCTTCAAACTTTGGAGCTAGCTTTGCCGTAAAATTGTCTGGGGCACTTGATAAAGAAAATTTCCGCTTCAATACTTTATCCCCAACTTTAAAATCTGCTTCACGGCGTTTTCTATCATAATATAATTTTTGCCTATTTCTTGCCGTATCCGAGCTTTTTTAAGCGCCTGATCAATCAAGTTTTTGCACATCTTTTGTTTAAACTCTTGCTCTCTTTGTTGCACAAAGAATAATTTATCTAAAGGCGTAATTAACTTTCTGCCTAAAAATAATTCTGCTGGAGTTTTTCCCGTAGTATCATGATTTGCCGTTCTTAAAGCATAAGCTAATTCATTTATGTAGCCATCCCAGCGCTTGTGATGTGTGCTCACGTAACTGCGAATTATTTTTACATATGTTTTTATTAACTCTTTCTGCTATGTTTGCCTGTGGTCTATACGGAACCATTTTGATATGGCGTATGCCAAGTCCATTGCATATGTTTTCAAATATTTGACTAATGAATTGTTTTCCGTTATCGCTAATGACTTTTATCGGTGCACCGTATTTTAAAATGTATCTGTGTAAGAATGCATCTGCGACTGTTTTGGCTGACGCGCGTTTAAGTGGAACAATTTCTGTCCATTTTGAAAAATGATCTACTATTACTAAAAGAAAACGATTTTTATTTAACTCGCTCTGGGGGAAGGGACCAAGAAGATCTATGCCTAAAATTTCATTCGGAAATGTAGCGCGAATGCTATTTAAGTACCCGGCCGGGCTGTAATTAATATCATTTAACTGACATTGATTGCAGGACCTGACATACGCCGTTACTATTTTGTATAATTGCGGGAAATATACCGCCTCGCGTACCCTTTTTAAAGTCTTTCTGACCCCTAAATGGACCCGCTGTTTTTTCGCGTCGTGTAATTCCTTCAAAATGCTTAATCGAAGCGAGGCTGGGATGACTGGTTTATACTCAAGATTTTCGTTTGTTGTTTTCGTATAAAATAATAAATTATCTATTATTTCATAGTTTTTTGCTCTATTTCTTATCGCATCGATATCTGTGTGCTCAAAGCTTTCGGGGTCTTTCAAATAATGCATAGATATTTCCAAATTCAGGATCAGCTTTCAGTTCAGTAATAACCGTATCTCTAGAATCTAAAATTTTTGAAGTCAACACAGCGCATTTAAGTTCATTTCCTTCATCGTCCAGTTTTATACGAGAAAGTGCGTCAGCTACATTGTTTTCCTTACCCGGTTTATATTTTATTGTGATATTATATTCTTGGAGTTTTAAAGCCCATCTTATTAACCTGGGCGTTAGGTTTTTCCCCGAGTAAAGTCTACCAACAGCCGCATGATCCGAAAAGACTGTTACTGGCGCTTTGCCGAAATAAACTCGAAATTTGTGTACAGCCATTAATACGGCTAATGTTTCTCTTTCTGTAGCTGTATAATTCCTTTGTGTCTGATTCAATGTTTTACTAAAAAATGCCAGAGGATGGTTATTTTGCATAAGAACCGCACCCACCGCATAGTCTGACGCATCTGCTGCAATTTCCAGGTTTTCGTCCCCCTCCGGGAATTTTAAAACAGGGGCATTGATGAGCGCTTCTTTTAATCTTTCAAAAGCTGTGTTTGCTTCCGCTGTCCACGTAAATTTACTCTTTTTTCTTTTGATTACTAAGAGTGGTTCAACAATATTAGCGAAATCTTTATGAAAGATCGATAGTAAGAACATAACCCAAGGAAAGAAGAAAGTTTCTTGGCGGTGTTGGGCGGTGGGAAATTCTTAATAGCTTTTATTTTTGAATCTTGCGTTTTCTATACCCTTTTGCGAAATTTTATAACCGAGATATTTAAGTTCTTTAGTTGCGAACTTGCATTTTGAGGCGTTAATTGTAAGACCGACTTCTTTTAATAATTTAAAAACTTGTTCGAGATCATTAATGTGTTGTTCCAACGTACTACTATACATCATCTAGATAAATTAAAGTTGATTTTCCTAGGACAGGCTTTAGAACAATGTCCATAGCTCTCTGGAATGTTGATGGGGCCCCACACAACCCAAAGGGCATGCGTAAAAATGCATAAGTGCCCGATTTTGTTATAAACGCGGTTTTATGTATATCTTCGGGTCTCATAGCTATTTGATAGTAGCCAGAGACGTTAAGTCCAAAGTAGACATATATCTTGTCGATTTGATCTGTCTAATGATTCGTCTATAACCGGCAAAGGGTAAACTGGAAATTTAGTAATACTATTTAGTTTTCTGTAATCGATAGCAAACCTCCAAGCCCTTTTATCCGAAGGAGGAAACTCGTTCTTTTTCCTACATAGTACGACTGGACTCGCGTACTCACTATTTATGGGCGTTATTATTTTATTCTTTAACATCTCCTGAATATGTTCTTCGATGATTACGTCTTTTTGTTTGTCATAACGATAAGGTTTAGTCCTACAAGGTTTTTTCGGCATTTAATTGAATCTTGTGAGTGCGTACTATCTGACAATTTTCTTTTCCCGTTTTTTTTTTCTGAAAACAAATTAGAAAAATTACTCACCACTTGCTGTATTGGCTTTACTTTCATGGTCATTCAAATGGCTAAGGTCCCACTTCGGTGTCTCCACAGGTTCCACCACCCTCTGGTCCATCTCCAGCACCACGGAACTATCTTGAAAATTAATTTGGCCCTCGCGGCCCTTAAAAAGTCCATACCTAAAATAAGAGAGTGTTTTGCAGGTCTTTCACCACAAAAATTAATACTTTGAGATTTTCCTCTTTTACCTGTAGTTTAATGATACTTTCCCGATGCAGTGACATGTTTTTCCTTGCGCCGCTATAATTTCCGTATTTCTGGTTTTAAAGAGTCGTATCCTATAAAAATTCTTTTGAAGAACTTTTCACTCATGAAATTTCCTTCTGCCTCCTGTATCGATGAGGGCTTCTACTGGTACATACATCGCCAACCAGGACTTGTATAATTGGTAGCTGTGAGTTTTTTACGATGACTGTATTTAAATGTCTTTTGAGGGGTTTTTTAAAACTTCCGGGGTCTGGACCCTCCCTTTCACAGGCCCCTCTAGTCGTTTAAAGCTTTCCTTTCAATCTGTCTTCTGGGTACGCGGATGCTTATTTTCAAATTTTCTTTTTGGGCCTTGACCTTCGAGGTTTCGATGCGTTAGCTTGATAGTTCTTTCCCCATAAGAGCGATTTCCATTTCTGGTTTCCTCCTCCTTTGAAGATTTCCTTCGGGTACTTTGAGAATATGTTTCCCCTCTCGCTTTTTCCGCTATTCTGCGATTTTGAAACTTCACCGCCAATTCGAAGAGTTCCTGCAATGTGCTTGGGTTTCTAATTTCAAAGTAGTCTTGGACAGCGGGTAACAATCTTGGTAATATTATTTCAATAATCTCCGCATCGGGTTTCTTCCCATACAGCATATCCGTCAGCTTAATTTTTCGTAAGAATAAAGTCCGTCAATTCTGCTGTATCGCGTTGATAGAAACTATATAGTTCGGCTTCCAGCCGTGCGCGATCTTTCACTATGGGGAAGGCCTTTACTAAAACGATTTTTTGAAATTTTCAAATGTATACGTCGGGCTTCCAAATTCACCTAATAAAAATTTGCCTATATTCTTCCACCATAGCGCGGCCTGTCCTCTTAGTGCTGATGTGGCAATGGCAACTTTTTGTCTTTCAGGCACAGGGTAGAGCTGAAAGTGGTTTTCTAGGCCTTCTAGAAATATCGCCACCGAATTTTTTTCCGTCGAAATAGACGTTTGGCTTGATTGATGCTCTCAAAGTCTGGACCGAGGTATCCAAATCCTTCTAACTGATTGGCTTGTCATTTCTTGGTGTTGTCCAGCGGCTTCCATCCGATTTTTTCGGCCATTTCAGTTCGATAAGTGTTCGGGGCGCCAATATAACGTTGCGCGCCTCCAACTTGGCACGCAACCAAGAGGTGACTGTGAAAACTGGATAAAAGACAGAGTCTTGTTAAGGGTTTAAGTCCCTTTTTATTCAACGTAATAAATTACAAGTGCGTGCTCTTGACGCTCACAAACTGCGCCAACTCGGCAGTCAAATAAAAATAATAACCTGAAAAGAAACTAAAGACAAGACTCTAACTACGAGGCTCTCTAAAAGTAACTAACCTCACCGCGTTTTACAATACCGCTGCTAATTCAGCAAACTTGAAGATCACGTTGAACGATTAACAATACTTCCGCCAAGCACACAGGCCTGAAACGCGGGGTTCTTCAATTTCTTCTCGCTAACTACCTCCGCGCTCGTGAAGTAAGAACAGCACACCTTGAACTCGTTTCCTTTCTATTTAACTCAGAATACTTCCGCTGATAATTTGAATCCTTGCGCGTTCTACTAAAATTTACATACTCTGGCATTGGCAGTTCCAGGGGAAAAGTAAGTCTTGACAGGAAAGGTAGTTTAAACTTAAAATAAATGTTAGTTAAAATAAATATAAACCCTACAGCATAATAAACTTGCCTATATAACAGAAGTAGGGAAATTTTTTGAGATATTTTAATAGTTTATAAGCTTCCGGCAATTTATGAACCCAATAAAACAGAGTCAAATTTTTTTAACATCAGTTGTAAAAATTTCTTAAATGATTTTGATTGCAAAAACAATCTTCCTAATAACCAGTATGCTTTTTTAAAGTTAATTAATATTATATAGTTTGTACGCTTATTTTTTCTAATTTTCTTAATGGTTATAATGATGTTTTGCTGTGAAAATGTATAAATTTTTAACATTGTTCTTAAATTAAATATGTTACATTTGAAATTTCTGCCTGTAAAATTTGGTTTGACCATTTATTACCATTATTTACGAAATATTTGTGCCATTTAATTTTTTAGGCAGAGATAGAAACAAATTGCATACTACCATCAGTATAAAAGATTGTCCTGGCTATAAGAATGGATATGTATATTCTCTTATTATTGGTATGTTATTTTTTATACTAGTGAAATAATAAACAAGATTGAATAAATTATCTATGTTATAATTGCTGATTTTCCTAGTTTTATTTGTAGACTTCTGGTTTCTCATTGCATCTTCCTTTATCCAATAGATTACGGAATCTTCTAGTTTTTAATTTTTAGTCTTCACTACAAAAATTTTTAAATAAATAATATAATAATTTATATTATTCAGAAATAAATTAAATTTATCGAAGTAACGAAACTTAAATTGTGTAAATTCTGTTCCTCCACACTAAATGATTTTCAGCAAAATGTTTCTTTTAAAATTTTGTTTGATCTGAATTATCTTCATGTACTGTAGACATGCGCATAAATTTTTATGAAGATTCAATTACTATTTAATCAGTTAATATTTGCATTTAATTTTCTTTTACAACAGTATATGATACATAACTTATCCACACACGGTAGTATGCACATTATTAATAGTAGTATGTTAATCATTATTGTAGCAGTATGTTAATTATTAGTTTCATTTTCATCATATTTGCAAACACAAGGACTTTAATAAATAAAAGCTTTCCTTTTTAACTCAGGATTTTCTTAGAATAAAAGTGTGAGAAAATTGCAGAAAGAAATAAATTAAGAACACAAAATTTATAATATCTAATTGAATATTAATATGTTTATGTGAGAATCATTCCAATAATTCATTATAATAATGTGAATTGAAATCTGCCTGGGTTTCTTTTTAAATTATATTACTGCACGTTGCAGAAACTCCCAGTTTTCGCACATATCAAGGTGGCAACTATGCTATGCGAAGCAACTAAGCAGAACTGAATTTTTTCGTTCTATGTTTATCAAAACTATCAGATGCAATAAGGAACTAATTTTATGTGATGAAAATATTTCAATTTTTGTGTTTACTTTAGTATATGACGTGCAAATTGTAAATAGTATTAACTTTGTTAAAGATGCATTACAACTTTAAATGTGCTATAATCTGATTTATGGAAATTATTGCTAGTTTACAGAGCCATGCCAGTTGCTTCAAATGTAATAAAACTATCTTGACTCTAAGTAATCATTCACAGTGTTTCACCACTTGCTCAAGAACATATTAAAGGCATGTACTGCTCTATCATGGTACAAGTTATCTGATACAGTTATCATCCTATGGGGAAAATATTTTTGAAAGTACACCTGTCCCTCGATTTACACAGTACTCGTTTTGCACAGTTTAAAAATTTCAAAAATGGTAAAATTTATAACTCGGCTGCCTATACTCAAATACCTGCATTTGAAGCCATTTTTTAATCTCACTGCTGTAGTAACACTGGTGGCAACAACAGGGATAGGGATTCCTCATGTTGTAAAAGGGGAATCCTCGTAGTATGTATATGTATTTCACAAATGTATTTGGTTCATGTGAACTAGTGCAGTATCAGTATTTTAGTAAAACAAAGCTTACATCATTTTTATCTACTTGTTTGAATGTTTACTGGTAAGTTTCAACATTTCTATTTTTGTGGCATTTTTATAATTTACGTAATTTTTTTAAAGTTTTTATAATGCCAAAAGATTAGAAAAAAATCAAATAAAAAGAAAAGTTATTTCTTTAGAAAAAAAATTTAAATATTAAATCGTCAACGTAATAGAGAAAGAGTGACAGAGGTTGCTAAATTTTACTCCGTGAATAAAGCCATAATAAGGACAATTAGAAAAAGTGTAGCAGCTGAAACTTGCTGCAGTAAGAGCACAGTTTCATATTAAGAGATGATACAATGAAAAATATGGAAAATACATTAGTGATATGGGTAGAAGATCAAAATCAAAAACAGATTCCAGTTGATACTAATAATATTACAAATAAGGCTTTAAAGATTTCTGTATGTTGTAGCACTTAAGAATCAGTCACCATTGACTTCATCGAATGAAGAAAAGGTATCTTTTTCTGCAAGTCGTGTTTGGTTTAAAAGATTTAAACAAAGACATTCTTTACATAATCTAAGATTGAAAGGAGAAAGTGCATCTCCCAATTCGAATGCAGCACAATAATATCCAGCAAAATTTGCTGAAATCATTTCCACCAACTCCTACACTTCTGATCAAATGTTCAATGCTGATGAATCCGGGTTGTTCTGGAAAAAAAAAAAAAAAAAAAAAAATGCCTGAAAGAACCTATTTAGCTAAGTTTGCAAATCGGATAGTTGTCATAAGGTAGCGAAATGTCGTATAACAGTTCTTTTTCTGTTGCAATGCTTTAGGCGATTATTGACAAATCAAAAACATGATGCTCATAAATAACCTTCCCATTTACTGGATGGCTAATAAGAAAGCATGGATCACTGCCATAGCTTTCAATGAATGGTTTCATAACATGTTTATCCCAGATGTAAAAAAATTATTTAAGCAAAAAGAGATTGCCTTTTAATTCTATTAGTTGATAATGCACCTGGTTCTTCTCAAGATTTACAACATGAAAATGTAGAAGTTGTACTTTTAACAAAGAATGCAACTTCCTTAATACAACCGTTTAATCAAGGAATAATTTTGACTTTTAAGGCATTGCATATCAAACAAACCTTCAGGTATATTTTAGAACAAATAGAGAATGATGAATCTCTTATGGATGCTTGGAAGAAATTTACAATCTTAGATTGTGTTAAACATATTGGACTGTTATATACTCAAATTATAAAATTAATGCTCAATGCATGCTGGAAAGCAGTATGGCCTTATGTTGCTAAAAAAGATGAGAATGATAGCTTACCATTAGAGCATGAATATTCTCAGATGACTAAATTGGCCCAAACTATAGGAGAAGAAGGTTTTGAGGATTTAGCTCAGGCAAATATTGAAGAAATAATGGCTGTGAAGAACTAAATGAGGATGAGTTAGTTAACATGATTTATGAAACAAATAAATATGATGAAGACAATGATTTTGATGAAGGGCAATCTGAACAAGTTGCGCTCACAGCAAGAGTCATCAGAGTAGGACTTGAATTGGGAAGAAAATTAGGTAATAATTTTTTTACAGTATGATACGAATGTTGAAAAACCTCTCCGATTCCAACGGGAACTTAATAAGTGCTTAAATCTATATGAGAAGGTTTACAAAGATTTAAAAAAAAAAAAACCTAGGCAATTGTTAATCGCAGACTTCAAAGTCTTGTCAATCTGAGATCTTCCCTATTTCGTCAACAATTGAAACAATCTCGTCAAGAACGCTCAAGTGATGAAAATGACATCGTACCAATCAAGAAGAAAAAGGACTAGTAGTTCAAGAAAGTGATGACAGTGATTAAACTTATAATAATGTTTTTAATGATCTTATATTTTGTAAATATTATTATATATGTATAATTTGTAACTTTTGTTTTATGTAAATAACTAAATTATGCACATTTAGTGTGTTTTTCGTTTTCCATGGTTTTACATAGCAAAATCCAAGATTTCGATTTACATGGTTTTGTGTCGAACCTATCTTTCATATAAATTGAATAATAGATGTATTTAAGAATTTTAAATCACTTTTCTTTGATCATGACATCTTGTTACCACATCACTTTACATCATTTTATATTGTATTTATTAATATTTTATTTATTTATTGTAATTAATATTGTGTATATATTTTGGACAAGCCTTGAAATTTCAGGGGTAATTAATTTAACTTTCTACAAAATTATCCTATACATTCATATTAATTTTATTCAGGAAAATACATCACCAATAATTTAATATATAAGGTGTTTATCTAACTTGTCTAAATTGGAATGAATATAAATTTAGTATCTTTTAGTGTTAAATTTTAACATTAAAATTTTTGGTCATTTTGCAGAACAAAATCACTATATAAAATATAAAATCATCAAATAAGGTTTCATTCTCTGACAGTGGTATAGCTAGAATTTTTTGGCCTATAAAAAAACTTAAAATAAGTGTGTGTAAGTGTATATATACACACATACTAAATATTATATTAATGTATAATAATGATTTAAAAATCCATTAAAATCAAATAATTGAGTTTTATTTAATTTTTTAAGCAATTCAATGCTATTTTAATAATAAGCAAAATTTATTAACAACAAAACTGCATGGAAACAATTTTAACAAACATAACTATTAAAAAGAAGAAAAAGAAATTGATCAAAATTCTTCCCATTCTGCTTTAAATTTTCTCGCCTCTTCATATCTGCATTTTCTAGCTAATATGATTACTTACTTTAGATGGGAAGCTTTAAAATACAGTTATAATTTTCTTTTTCATATAGCTTAACTCATGTAATTAAGAAATATATCATTAAACGACATACCTTTTAATCTGCACCATCTACAGACAAACTGTAATAATTCTCAGTACAGTTCGGAAAATTGTGATAAAGAACATGGAAAGAAAATCAGAAGTTTAAAACATAATTTGCAGAATTTTTTATGCCTGCAGAAAAATCATGCAGTTTAGTTATATAAATCAAAAGAGCGATGCTTAACATGGAAACATAAACATTCTAGCTTGATTTGTAACACCAAAATACTCCTGCATCACACTGAGTCACATACTATTAATGGATGTTAAATAGATATCAAAAACTGTTATGAATTCTATTAATGAGGTCTACATGAAACTCATGATCTTACAGGCAGTTTAAAAAATATTAAAAACAACCAATAAACTTTTTATTTCTGTAATATGTGTATTATTCGAACTTTAATTGCGTAAAAGTTTCAACAAAAGAAGCATTTCTGAAGGAATATATTTACTTATTATTGGCTGCAAATTTGTGATAGTTTATGCATTTGGTTGAGAGCAACCACAGGACGAAGTCAGTTTTCTTTTGCCTCGCCAATTAAATACAAGAATAAAAATAAATATAGGAGCTTTAGAAATTTAAATAATTAGTGGCACTGCAGCATCAAAACTGAGCTGCCCTGACAGTATAGTGGTTAAGGTAGTCTACTGCGGTATCAAAGGGCCCGGGTTCGAATCCCAGAGAATGTTTTTGCAATTTGTCTGTCCTTTTATATGAGGTAAGGGTGGCTGCCTATTAGGTACCTCCATAATAAAATGACCACTGCTTTGGGCCTTAGTAGTGGTGAAAGTCTGATATATGAGTCTGATATATACTTTGACATTCAGAGCACTGGGCAGAAATATGATTTCTGCCCAGTGCTCTGAATGTCAAAGTGAAGAAATTCATCCAGGTGTCAGTAAATGTCGGGAGTAACTACGACTCTCTTAGTAGGGTAACCCCACCTCCACGTGATACTGGCTGGTGGGGGGTAGACTAAAGTGGGCTTCCCTTTCTTCCCTCCCAGGGAAGGGCTGGAATTCTGGCTGGCTAACGGGCCTTAAGGCAATGCCGGCTGGAAGGGATTGATTGGGTTTAATTTTTTTTCAGAATTTGTGTGTACTACCATGCTCAGGGCCTTAGTCTCTGGGATGACAAGTGGTAGGACAGCAGCTGTCAAGAAGCCGTTAGCCGAATAAGTCCCTCCTCCTTCGAGCAGGAATGGGTCCTGTCAGTGGAGCTGCTGATACGTGAACTTTGAATACTTCCCAGTGTTCATGTTCTCTGGGCTGTCACAGGCTTCCGCCATGCACAACGTCATTGCATAACTTAGAGCCTTTGCATCAATCTTGAATAAATCGACAGAAGAAAGGAGGCAGGTGGACACCCAGAGCTGCAAGGCTCGCAGTGGGCCAGTAAGGTAACTTTGAATATTTCCCATTGTTCATGTCCTCTGGGCTATCACAGGCGGAAGCCATGGATGATTCAACTGCATAACTTAAAGCCTCTCCGTCAATCTCAGATATTCCGATAAGAGATAACGATAGAGGAAAGGAAGGCAGGTGGACATCCAGAGTCGTAAGACTCGCAGTGGGCTTGGCAAAGCAGGAGTTGGGACTATGTCGTCTTCCTCTCCAAAAACCTGAAGCAATGAGGACAGCACTGCTAGGGTGGGAGTCCTGATGATTCACCATAGTGACCATATATGTCGTAGTGTATATTTAATGGCCAATGTTGTAGTAGTTGTACTTATAATTTTATATCTTATGTTGATAATGCAATTGCCCAATGCTCATATACGTTCGTCTATCTCTTGCAGATGAACTCTGAAGTTTTCACTTTTGGTTCAACTGATGAGACGATGGACGTTACTGCAGCTACAACTTCAGCCTCTAGCTGTCAAACTGAAAAAATGAGGGAAGTCTATGCTGATGTGCCTGTCGAGGTCCTGTCATGTGAAGACTGCAATGAGGAGTTCCCAAACTTCGGGAGCTTCACAGCCCACCACAAGCAGAGACACTCTAGCTAGCTGTGACTAATGCAGAAAGAGTAGTAAAAACTATCTCTCAATCACGATCCACCGTGGGAAATGCAAAAGTGGGTGCCGAAGGGCTGCTTTATCAACGAATAACGTATGTCCTGAGTGTGGAGTGGGATTCTCTTCTAAGATGGCACTAACGCAGCATTGGAGGCATAAGCACTTAACCATTCTTAACCAGGAGTGGTTACAACTCAGTATGGCTGCAAATCCATGATGATGTTCCGAAGCGGAGACAATGGTGGAATTGCGCGCTGCTCTTCTCAGGGAGTTAGTTGAGCAGTCCTTGCCCAGATTCCCAGTAGGACTAGAACCCAGGTATATGATAAAGTGAAAGCCATCTGAAGGAGAGCTGCCCAGGATGGCCCACCGTAAGTCGGGACACTGATGCAGAGATGACAGAGACTCCACCAGGGGAGGGTGCTGAAGAGTTAGATTCTGCTGTGCGTGAAGCCTCAAGATGTGGACATGATGCCCATCGATTGCTAGCAAGCATACCTTGGAGTTGTAGGGAGAGATGGAGGAACTAATAGCCTGTATGGTGTGGAATTTGGGTACAGAGATGCCCAAACACAAATCCATGAAGCTTCACCAACAGGCAAAGCGAAGAAGCGTGGTCTTGTCAAAGAGTAAGGGTCAAAGGATTTCCCATTACGTGGAATGCCAGATACTGTTCGACTTGGTTCCGCCTAAGTTAGCCCACAAACTGCTGGATGGCGGTGATACTGGTTCCGGACCTCAACATGGCGGAGACTTACTACAGTGAAGTCTTTGGAATGCCAAACGATATCTGCGGTAACTTGCCAAAGATACCTATCTCCCTGGTTCATGTAATCGGCTCCTTGCCCCAATAACCATTAAGGAGGTTGCTGCGGTTTTAAACCTAAGCAAAGCAAAATCTGCAGCAGGACCTGATGGCCTTCTTTTTGCCGACCTCAAATACCAAAAGGAAGGGAAGAAGCAGAAAGTCGTAAGAGAAGTGGCCAAAATTTTGAGAGAACGCCCAAAGAAGCATTTCATCATGACTGCCTCTTGCCGACTGTGAAGCATGGGTGTGGTGCCATTATGGTATGGGATGCGATATCTTGGCGCGGTCTTGAGCCACTTGTTATTCTGCGTGGGAGGATCACTATCTAAGCATTCTAGGGGATCATGTCCAGATTGTATTCCCTGGGGAGCACTCACTTTTTCAAGCCAACAACATACCTATCCACACTGCTAGGTGTATTCAAGTCGGTGAGCATGACGATGCAATTGAACATCTCGCTTGGCCCCCTCAGTCTTTGAACTTGAATATTATTGAACATTTATGGGCATATTTGGAGTCCAAACTTTGTTCCCGATTTCCACCTCTATCTGGACTTTCGAAGTTAGAGACCGCTCTGCTGGAAGAATAGCTTAATATTCCTTTAAATAATGTTCATGACCTTTATGCATCTATCCCATGTCGCATTCAATCTGTACTTTAGTCAAAGGGTGGTCCAACCCCCTATTAATAAAAGTTTTCCATTATTTCACAGGTGTTCGTATTATTTTGTCCTTCATCTACGGCAGTAATACTATTGGACTTCGTCAAAGTCTTCGACACGGTCGACCATGAATACTTGTTCCAAGCTCTGAATCACTTGAACATATGCGAGGGGTTCATGTCGATGATCAGGGATTTGTATGGAATATCAGTCACCCACATTAGTGTAGGAGATCAGCAATCTGGCGACATCCGGTTCAGACGTGGAGTGAAGCAAGGAAACCCAATGTCTCCCCTGCTATTTAATATAGCAGTCGACCCGCTGTTAACCCAACTGCTGGACAGAGAGCGAGGTGGGGTACTGCATGGAACAACCATGCATCTAAGCTGTTTAGCATATGCAGATGATTTGAATTCCAAGATGTAGCTCTTATTGACATGTACTTTGGCTGCCCCTGATTTAGAATCTGTGTCATCAGTTTGATACTTTGATCTTCCATTAATGTGCTATATAAAAGATCATGGTGTGCAGGGATGCTTGTAGTGACTTTTCTACATTGCTTTTCAGAAATATGCAAAAGATAAAATATACATGTTAAATTAAAAGTTGGAAAAGTTAATTTATTGTGCAATCTAATGTAATTATTTGTATGTAGTTATGTCCTTTAAAATGTATCTATTTAATGCATCCATGGGGAATTTTAAAGATTATGAATGTTAAAAGTTTCGACAACTTTTTCTGATATCTGTTTTCTAGCTGTGTGATCAAATGTTTGTATTAAAAACAGAAAATTCTTTATTAAAAAATGTTTTGAATGAAAGTAAAGATTTTTTATTCCATATTCAGGTAAATTTTTAAAAAAGGGGGGAAGATTAAGTTTTGTATTTAATATCAAATAACACATTCTTGGTATCTTATTGTTAATGTTACACTTTCAGAAAATTTTTAATTGATTTGAGCAAGGATTTTGTGACTTAGCATTATATTCAGCAATGTAAGGAAAATTTTAATCTTTTCCACACACACTTAAAAATTTTTACAATCATATTTCAGGGAAAAAAGCATAAAATTAATTTATTTAAAAATCTTAATGTAAAACTGAATTTCATGTAGACTGTGTTTACAGCAGCTAACTAAATCATACCTAAGCAAAATGCTTATAAAGACAGATTTCTCAGTTCAGATTAAAGTTGCCTCTAAACAATAAAAAAAATATTTTATATTTTAATATTATAAAACAGTAGTAGAATATGAGGATATAAAAAGATGAAATCAGAACTTAATAATTAATTATATATAATTAAGCACCATACCAACAGAAACCTAGTTTTGCAATTAATTTAATATTTTAGAACTTGCAGCAAAACATGAGGTATTATATTATTAAACGGCATTAAAATATTGCATAAAATGTTTAAAAAAAAAAGAGAGGTACTGAAATTATTTACTTACACCATTCTGCATGGTTTTCTTATAACTGTAATAAGCAACCAAACAGCCATATTTAAGCAAAAATTTACCATTTTCAAGTGATGAAGGAACAATTTTTTTATTATTATTAAATAGTGCAAAACAATAAAATAGACCATAAATTTTAGTTGCCGGCTTCAGAACTGATATTTAATAAGCATATTTAAGTAGCTACTTGAAATAAAAACAAAATTCATAACACTAAAATGCATTAAATGTCAGACAAATAGTTAATTAATTTAATATTTTAGAACTTGCAGCAAAACATGAGGTATTATATTATTAAACGGCATTAAAATATTGCATAAAATGTTTAATCTTTTCCAAGTTATGAAAGGTAAAACACTAAAATTTTTAAAGAGATAATATACCTGTTAGGCTATATTTGTATGTAAGATTTCATAGTTTAAATATTTTACAGACTTTATGTAATAAATATTTTATCGAATATGTTATACCAGTTTTTCCCTTGAGCAAGTATTAATTTAATATCATTAGAACTATTTGTCTGACATTTAATGCATTTTAGTGTTGAATTTTTTTTTATTTAAGTAGCTACTAAATATGTTATTTAATATCAGTTCTGAAGCCGGCAACTAAAATTTATGGTCTATTTTATTGTTTGCCACTATTTAATAATAATAAAAAATGTTCCTTCATCACTTGAAAATGGTAAATTTTTGCTTAAATCTGGCTGTTTGGTTGCTTATTACAGTTATAAGAAAACCATGCAGAATGTGTAAATAAATAATTTCAGTACCTTTTTTTTTTTTTAAACATTTTATGCAATATTTTAATGCCGTTAATAATATAATACCTCATGTTTTGCTGCAAGTTCTAAAATATTAAATTAATTGCAAAACTAGGTTCTGTTGGTATGGTGCTTAATTATATATAATTAATTATTAAGTTTGATTTCATCTTTTTATATCCTCATATTCTACTACTGTTTTATAATATTAAAATATAAAATATTTTGTTTATTGTTTAGAGGCAACTTTAATCTGAACTGAGAAATCTGTCTTTATAAGCATTTGCTTAGGTATGATTAGTTAGCTGCTGTAAACACAGTCTACATGAAATTCAGTTTTACATTAAGATTTTAAATAAATTAATTTTATGCTTTTTCCCTGAAATATGATTGTAAAAATTTTTAAGTGTGTGAGCAGGATGGATAGTGATGTTTTTAAGAGATATCATTACATATTTATGTGTAATTAAGATATTCATAATATATATTTATCTATAATTAAGATGTTTGTAGAATTTTTTGTTCTGTTTTTTAAATTGTGTAAAATCCAATAAAATGTATTCTTATATTTGTGCTGAATATGAATGAATTCTGTATAAAATTAACAAAATTATTTTTCATGACCGTGCTATGAAAATTGGACACTATTGATGATTAACTTAATGTCATAAATTGTCAGATGTAAATATTTACATATGTCTACCTCTATTATTTTGAACTAATTTACAAGCATAATTTTTCAGAAATAATATTCTAGACCACAATTTCTTAATATGTGGGTTTAAATCTGGGTTGTCAAAACTCCAAACATATGAAAATTAAGTATGATTACTTTGTGGCATGTGTGATTGATTTTTTATTATTCATAATTTTTTATCAAATTTCTGTAAGTCATAATCAGAAAATTACTAACCCTTACAGTTGTCTATATTTAGGCTATGAAGGATAGTAAAAAATGCCTTTACCTTTTTATCCATCTTCCACCTTTCTCTCTGTTCCAAACAAAATCTGTGTGAGACAGGTAAAACTTTCAAATCTTGGAAAAACAGGACATGCAGTAATTTAAGAGATCATACTTTGTCACGCATTGACTATTGAGCCAAAGAATTTAAATGGGTTCTTTGATCTATATGGCAGATCTTTTTTCAAGGATGATACTATGTTTGCTTTTCAGGGATAGAAGGAGGAGTGGATAGATTCTTATGAAATGGAGGTATGTAGGTAGGTGGTTTGCATTTTAAGCTCATAGAAATTTTCAATCCTTACTGGTCTGTTAATTTAAAACACTATTCTGTTTCCTGAATAAGAAGCTTTTGGTATTCTTTTTAGGTCTACTGCGAGATTTAGCCACTCGTTGTAATGGCTGTTATTCAATTTGAATTTTTCTACTTCCTTTTTTATATGATCTTTAACTAGAAAAAAATTCTTATGTTTTTTAGTATTTATAGAAAACATATTTTTAACATGTCTTCAACCTTTTAGTGCTCATGTCTGATTTTGATCCAGGTGACTTTAAAATCTTTACTAAAATCAACATAAATATGTATGGTTTGGGCACTTGCTGAGTATTTACATAAATTTGTCAAAACTGTTAAAGGAAGAAATAGTCAAGTTGTAACTACCATCAACTAAATAACTGGTTATTCTGAGCCATATTTCTTGAAATAATTTTTCCAGGTTAGTGGATGTAGTATAAAGAAAATATACTTTTTCATATAAAGTTAGATAGAAATAAGATAATGCTTTAATTGCTTACCATACCTAATAGCAAGTGATGAATGCAATGCAAAAATAATAAATGTAAATATTCTTCATGACTTCCTTGTTTCGAGACAAAAAAATAGGGATCACTGTATAGTGTTATTTTTAACTTACCTTATTTCCTTTAAGCATCAGATTTTTGAGTGCATCTCTTGCTTTTCCCATTAATGCATGGATTTAATACACCACCAAAATATGTTTTTTGTATGTAAGATTAGACAAACAGATATAGGGTTGTGGCTAAAAGAATTAATTTTCTCAGAGTTCCTTTCTAATGTGTCTACACATTTTTTAATACACATAGTTATTGAATATGATTATTCATGTTCAATGTAATTTTTTGGAATTAGTTTTAGTTAATGAAGAATGTTTATCAAAATCGGCAAGATATGTCTTATATAAAATATCGAGCAAAATTACTCTTTAATAAATGCAAAAAAACTTACTGTAATTAATTTCATGCAACTTTATTGACAAATGACTTACCGTATTTGACCGCATATAAGACACACTTTTTTTCCTAAATTTGGTCTCAAAAAAGTTACCTGCGTCTTATACGTGAAGGACACAGGTTAACTTTCAATACTGAATGCTATTTTTAGCCCGAATAAAGGTCTAGACACCCATAACTTTTTCTACATCTACATGTGTGTGGCCTTCTAAATAAAGGTGCGTCTCATGTGCCGTCAAATACGGTATCTATGAAATAATTAATAAGTTGTTATTTATTTACCTTATAAAAAAAGCAATAGTAATATATTTTCACAGAAATAACCGAGTAGGAAAAACACCGATTAAAATTATATCCCGAATATTGGCCATTTTCAAATAAAAAAAGAATGATCAAATGAAATGTCTTTAACAGTGGTGCATTTGTTCTAATATGAAACAGGAATGATCTTAGAAAATTGAACTACTCGGAATCTTGAAATTGGAGCTATATGCAAGGGTGACTTTCAAAAGCATTACCAAACTTATCTATGAAAGTAAGACATAGTGTGAACTGATGTTGTGTTTTTGCATTTTTTGACTTTTTAGAAAATTATAATTTCTAAGGCTCTGATGTGAGAGTTTGTGCTTATTAGAATGCATCATATGCCACTGAATATGAACAGAATTTTCTTGACTTCACTGAATTCTTTAACACTGATGAGAGTATATGTGTCTATATCAGTGGTTCACATTCTTTTTTGCCCACATACCCCTTTAACCATTGTTAGGTGATCATTCACCTCCCTTTATTCCCAAACTTGTAAAATACATATGCATTTTATTTAAATTTAGGTTATTTTTTAATCTATTTTACAAATTTAAAAAAAAATGGTAGAAGTACCAAAATTTGAACAGAAATAGTTTTTTATATTCATAAACTAAAATTAAGAACTTAGCAAGTAAATGAAAGACTGACCATTTTCCCTCTAAAACTATGAAATTCTCCCTCCCCCCAAGGGGGAAATTCGCCCTGTTTGAGAACTCCTGGTCTAGATGGTTTGATTCATAGTTTCATTTAAATTCACCATAGCTTTTAAATGAAAAAGATAAACATTAAACAAAACATTCAAAGAATGCATTGCAGGAAAAGCTTTAAAAGTAAAAACTGCTTGTGATGTAATGCAGTATAGCTGATGATTCTGATTAAATCCGCTGTTATAAGGAAAGCAAAAAAGTTAGTGTTTCAAGTACATAAATATTAGTAAAGTTAATATGAAATGGGAAAACTAACTAGTCAACCTATGTAACATCTGAAACGGCAAAATTTGCTAATTGAATATGGCTAACAAAGAAAGCTATTGGACTCCCTAAAGCACAATTGGCACGAAGCTTTCAAGAGTGATCAAGCATGTGAACAAAATAGCAGATGCAAAATCCAGCACTTCACAGTTTCCAGAACAGGGCATATAAAGTGGCATGCATGCCTTCAGTATTTGCAGATATATATTGGCAAACATATAGCTGTGAGGTTTTAGTATTCTATTGTTAAGAGTGAATCTCATGTGATATGCCTTTTGAAATTTGATATACATATGCTGGCAAATTCATGTCATTTTGATATCACAATTTATTACACTTTATTTAGTTTTGTCTTGTATTTTCAGGCAATTAGTGCTAAGGATTTGTTTTACTTTGACTGCATAAACAACTCTTATACAGGTTGGGGCAAACAAAAGTAGCCCGGAGAACAGAGTTCCATATTACAAAGAAACACAGCCAAGGAAAATAAATAAAAGTTAAAAGTGGCCTGGACGAGTGGATACGATTGGACGTGTATGTATGCATATAGCCACACCGTGTAACGTGCACACCACGTTATCCAAACAGGTTCAGAGCTTAGTGCAGGCTGTGTCAATGTGAGTTGAGCAGTGCAAAGGTGCATCAAAGGGTGTTCATTGTGGAAAGCTATGTTACAACAGAGTCATGGAAACAGCGTGGTCAGTTGTTTGCTCATAAATTTAATGGTGTCAAATTGCCAGCAAAGTGTGCCATGCAGTTATCAGTCAGAAAATGGCCTCAGAGAGGATCTGTTTTGAGCAAGTCAAAAAACATACTCAAATGTGTCCGAACACCAGAAAATGTGGCTGCAGTTCAGTAGTCAATTTCAGCATCTGCTATACTCAGTTAGTACTGCATTTCCCCCTCCCTTTGTAACCTGGAACTCTGTTCTCCGAGCCATTTTTATTTGCCCCACCCTATACAAAGTTCTTGCCATTATACATTGAAACTGTGTTGTCTTACTGGGTACTTCTATCTCAAATTTGTCACTAATATTTGTACAACAACATGAATATAACGAGATCATCAATATATTTGGCTAATTGCACAACTTATTTATTATTCTGCTTGCTTGAGCAGTCCTGTGTACTATATGGAACCTACTTACCAAGATTATACTTTATCATGCAATAATATAATTTACAGATGGAATATTTGTGCAGTGTAACATTTTTTTAATATCGCAATTTAATTATATAAAGGGGGGAAATTAAACAAATACAGTAGTTTTGTTTAAAACTCTTAATAATAATGAGTTTAGACACTAAGAAT